ACTTAATAGGTCTTTTCTGTCTTTCACTGCTTTGATTCCTTGAGTCTTCTTATCTTTTAAAATGTACATTTTACCTCCTAGAAAAAGGAAAGGAAAATACCAATTTGACTTAAATCCATGAGTTAGTGGTGCCTTTCCAAGTCACATGGCTTTTAATGCTGGAAATCAAAACTCCACTCTTCATTTTACTAAGCAAGTATAAACCCACCATTGGTGTCTTGAAGAGATCCCTGCAGTGTAGGTTTCAAGGCTTCTTCCCAGATTAGTAGAACCTGGCTGTTAAGTATGGAGGGGTGATTAGAGCATTGAACTGAGAGTTCCTGGGTTCCATTCTTAGCTTTTTCCATGGGATCATGGTGGCCATTAGTCTCTCTATGACTCAGTTTCATCATCTGTAAAATGGGAATAATACCAGCTCATGCAGGAAATTTCAGATCCTTAGATGAGAGATACTATACAAGTGCAGTCATCTCCCTTTGTGTGTTAATCCCATCAAATGGGCTGCTCAGTGCAAAGTATTAGTATTATTACCAAATCACTCCATTATTTGAAAAATATTTTCCCTTGTGCCTGTGTTCTAAATTCAGTAAGGGCCAAATTCTGATCTCCCTGAAGCCAAAGAAACTCTCTCACTGATTTCAGCATCACAGCACTTAGGGTAAAATGCTGATGCCACTATGAAGTTGGAAGTATTTGGGTTCCCATCCTAGAAGATATTTACAGTCTCAAACTGCAGCTAAAGAAAGAAAAAAAATCTACATTAATTTGCTTACTTCTTGGTGAAATGGTTGTAGGAAACCAAGATAAAATATTTTAAAAATATTCCTCTAAAACATCTTGAAAGATGGTAACTGAGTATCTAGTTTGAGATAACTTATTCTTTCCACTGGCTTGTGCAGTAGAACTAGTGCCCTGGAATTTGGTTTTCAGGGGCAGTATCATTGCAGGCTGCACGTTCTGCTCCTGAAAGAATTCTGCACCCCGGCCATGTGCAGAATGTGTGTCCCCTACAGATATCTTTGTTTCCCCACAGAAAAATTATATTCTGATGGGGAAGTAAGGAAAGACCTAGTTGGTGATTTCTATCCTGTCTTGGGCAGAGCTGCTAGTCCTGGGGGCTGGAAAGGATGGGATTTTCTCTTCCTCTGCCCAGTATCTGGGGCTAAGTCAGACCCACCCCCAGATTTCTCTCCATAGCTCCTGGAAGCTCTGCAAACTTCCTCTCCTCCTCCTGCACTCCTGGTAGGGATATGAAAGGTTTACTGGATAGCCAGTAAGCAACACCCTTCATGGTTGTGTTGTCAGTGGTAGGGATGTCAGCGTATAGTCATGTACATAATTAACTGATAAGCCTGGACTTATCGGTTAATTCTAATGACTACATGCACCTCTCCTTGCTGCCTCTGTATCATGATTACATGCACCTCTCCTTGCTGCCTCTGTATCAGAGCAGCAAAGAAGGAGAGGCAGGAGTCAGTTCCCGCAGGGAGCCCATGTTTAAGGCATCTCCCTGCACATGCAGGCTCCCACCTTCCTGCTAGAGCAGCTCCCCACCTCCAGCTAGGAAGGGGTTGCTCCAGCCTGGAAGGGGCTGCTCCAGCCCTGCAGGGCCCAGTGCAAACAAGGGCTGCTGTGGCTGTCTGAAACAGTCTCTGTCTGTGGCAGGCCCTGGTGCCCCATGGCAGGAGCTGCTCTGGCATCTGGAGCAGCCTCTGTCTGCAGGGAACCCAGCCTTCCAGACAGGGGCTGCTCTGTTGAGGGCTCGAAGCCAAGTTGAAGCAGTCACCCCTGCTCTAGCCCAGCCCAGCCCAGCCCAGCCTCAGCAGGCTGGAGCAGCCCCCCAGCCCACATCCCTTTTAATCAGTTAACCAGTTAAACATAATGTTTAATTGGTTAACCAATTACACGGGATTTTACATCCCTACTTCCTGGACCTGTCATTCCTTGGCTGGAGGGAGAAGGGTCCCTGTATTGGGAGCTGCTCCCCCATCTACCCAACTTCCATGCATCCTGACCCCCTTATATTCAAACCTTCCCA